TTAGTAAATTAAAACAAACGGCTCCTGCCTTTTCATCAATTTTTCATCAGCTGTGGTTTTTTGGTGGCGGTAATTTAATTGTTGCCTGCTGTCAGTTAACACAATGTGGTTGAGTTGGTTGGCTGGCAGGCAGGCAGGCAGCAACAGGGCGTATGAGGGATTAACGATGTTATAAACATTTTGTTTATATAATACACATAGTATGCAAAATGTCTCAATGCCCAGCAAGTGGTTAACTCATTGAGCTGGCGAAATGCTAGCTCATTAATTTAATTTCCCTCAATTTAAACTAAAAGTCATGAAAATGTAAATAATTCACTTATCGAAATATTCAGTAGCCTTTATTAAGTTATAATCAAATTAAGCCGATTTATAGTTTAAAAACCGTGCAGCGAAAGCACAGACAGAACTCGAAGTATAGGAAATAATGGATCGTCCTTGTCCTCGTCTGGTAAATATTTCAGTTACTGATTATAGTTTTACTTTTAAGATTGTTCAATGCTTTTCTCATTCTAATAAGCTTTTCTTTATTTTCAATCTTTTTATTTCCATATCTTTTTCTTGTCGTTGTGGGAAATCAAAATAATATTCGTAACGCACAGTAAACGACTGCTGGTGTAGCAGATTGGAATTGATTGAAATGGAAATTTTCTAACGGCACCATTATGGAATGTACATACTGGGGAAAAAGTAGAAATATATATCTAATGAAGGAAAAGGTGGTACTGGCCAACAAATTGAGTCCAGAGAACGCCCCAAGTTTGTCGCGCTATTGAACAGGAATCGAGCACAAGCAAGAAATAATGTTTCAGGCGTGATACCCGACAGTGAAATACCCTGTACCCAAAAGAAATTCCACCAAGCAAAAAGGTTTAGAAGAAGAAATGTCTGAACACACTTCCTCAGTACTCGAAGAAATAATAATGTGAAATAATTTATATTTTTTTAACTTATTTTTTCTTTCAATATTTATAACCAACTTCACTATAAAAGTACCGTTTGACTAAAAATATCTTGCAGCTGCGTTTGCTAGAACAAAATAAGTAGCTTATTCAGAAAAAAAAGGATTTTTTTTTCATAATTTAAAACCTTTATTATAAGGGATTTCATTCAGTTAATTCGATTTTTATTTATACTATTTTTAGCTCATTCTCGGACTTTGAATTCTTTAAGGCTGTTCAAATTATTAACTACGTGTGTTAAGCTTAGTTGGTCATGTTGGACTTGTCTATAGTATTGGTGGGGAGGGGGGAAATAAAAAAATAGCGGCATATAAGTGCAAATTTTGGATAATGGGTTCCAAAATGCGGACGCTTATTAAGACAGAGGAAAGGATGAACGGTCATCTCTAGATCGATTTATCTCGATAAATACAAGTATATGCTGATTAAGAATATACAAGTATGTATAAGTTCTGTGCGGTTGGCCCGTTACAAACCTAACATACCCTTTTCACCCTTCGGGTACAGGGTATAAAAAGTATGCAACAGAAAATAAACAAAATGATTCTTGCTATTAAGAGCGACAACCACGCTGATTGTGCACTTGCCCGGTCGTTTGGACGCTTGGCCGTTAGTCCGTTCGGTCGTTTGCTCCGTCGCTGCATGTGTTCCTGGCACGGAAATGGCGTCGTAATATTGGTTCCGTTGCCGTTGCCGAAACTTGGCGACAAATATTTGCTTTTACTGTTATTGCAGTAGGCATCGCAAAAGCAACAGCGACGAATATCAAGACTAGGCCATTTTTTGTATCCCTTTTCGAAGTTGCTTTTCAGCCTCATCCGCCCCGCTTCTAACCATTTTGCTTCTGTTTGTTTATGCCCAGAGATGAATATTTATACCTTAAACCCGCAAAAAATTTAAAATTGGCAGCTATGTATTTATAAACCAGCAAAAAAAAACTCTTTTCAAACGATATTAGTGGAGTGGGGAAATGACAGCGTCTTTATCAGCCATGCCTTTTGTTTAAAAAAAAAAAAACAATTCATATTAAGAAATACTATTACCATACGCTTTATTTTTAAACTAAATATAATACTAACAATCAAAATTTTAAATTTATTTGAATTTACTTTACAGCCAAAGTTCGCTAACTTATCATTTCAGTAACTTATTTTAAATAACAGAGCTCTGGTTTATCGACTCAAATCCTCCTTAAGTTTCGTACGCGCCCCACAAAGTGTACTCTCATCGGTTCATTCATTGGCTCGTCTTTTTATGATTGAAAAATGTGGTGTGCACATCTATAGCTATTTAAATTATTTATAACACATATACGTACATACATATATGTAATGCAGAATTCAATATACCGTCGCAAACAATAAGCTTTTTTCAAATTGTAAGCTATTGTTTGTGCGAAGAAAGGCAAATGAATAATTAAAGTTCAAAAATTTGAAAACTTTTGTTATTCATATACCCTGTAGACATAGCATACCCGAATGGCATACTCGATTATAAATAAAATTGCGGTCTGCCAAACGTGCCATTTTAAAGCTTACTTACACCATAAAAGACAACTTCGTAGCTCTTTTCGTTTAGGCTGTGTTTTGATTGCAAATAGCCTTTTGTGTCCCCACGGGAAAATCCCTATATTTCACTCCAACCAAGTAAAACCAAATATACAGTTTTTTGTATTCTTTCGGAGAGTATACCGACCAACTTTGAAGATATCTTGATGAAAATTGTCAGGACAAACTGATTTATGAATATGGAGATGAACAGATATTATTAGGTGCTTATATAATTTAAGTTAAGTTTATATAAGTTAAGTTATTATACCAAGTTGAAAATAGTATACGATACACGTATATAAGTAAGTAGTATGTACATATTTTCGAAAGACATACTTAACCAAAAGCATGTACTTGAGAAAATTTGCAGTTGGTGATTAAAGTAGCTCTGTGAAATCTCTCTCCCACATAGGTGTTATAAAGAATTAACGATTGTACAACTAGAATACCATTTAATCCTTCGGGTAATATTCAACAGAGTCAAACAGTTAGATGTCTAGATTGTCGCAGGCATTGGGATGTCTATCTGGCAATATCATAGCAAGATGCGAGTTATTCCCAGACATGTACTGTACGTGGCCTGCGCTATTTAAGCATGAAGTTGAAAACTGTTTAAGCTTTATTTTATAGTAGTATCTAAGATGCTCGCCGCTTTAATAAAGGCACAACTAGGGCCGGTGAGCGAGTGGGTGGTCGTTCGTTCACCCAGCACCAGCAACAGCACCAGCCGCCTGGAACTGTCCCTAAATCTGTTTGGTGATGGCTGCGCTTAACCGGCCAGCAAACAAGCCTCGTTGGGTTTGAAAATTATGCAATCATAAGAAAACGTAACAGCTGGGCAGTCAGGCAATTGCTGAGTTTGGGCAGCAGTTGCAAAAGTGGAGCAAACTGCAAAAGTGTTGGTTACCAGCAAGCGAATATCTCCAACAAGAACAAAAAATAAAAAAGAGACCCCACCCAAAAAAAAAACAACAAAAAAAAAAACAGGGAATGGCACAACGGCGCGTTGAAATGTTGAGCATTCGTGGGCCAGGCCCATAGGCACGTACCTCTACATGCAGTTGTTAAAGCGCGGCACAGACGGAAAATGGGAAACGGCACCGTAATCTATCAGAGGTCCGGCATAGGAACTACTAAGGAGAGCTGAACCTGATGCAGCTGGCCAACACTGATGCTGGTCCTGGCGTTTTTCAATTTACAAAGTGCGCCTCGAGCCTTTTCACGCGTCGCATATTCACAAACACACATCCACAAATGTGGTGGAGACTCGCAGTCAAACCCACACCAATGGGTGGATGCTGGTCAGTGGAACGCACCACTGGCCAGTGCCAAACGCCCGAGGCTGAGGTGCCATAGAGCTGTAGATTGCGAGCGCAATTTAGGCAGGGCCTTTCCTTCATGTTTCGACAGTGTGTTGTTTGCAGTGGACTCTTCAAAATGGACGCTACAGCAGCTTTGGCACTCATGTTGCTTGTTTGTGAAAAAAGGAGCAATTTTTTCCCTTTATTCCGAATGTTGCTGCTGCCAGTCCCTGCTCGCTGGTCCCTGTTAGTACGCTGGCATAAGGATTTTGAAAAATCCAAGCAATTCAAACACCACAGTGCCCATTAAACGATAAAGTATACGTGTATACCAGCATCTTAATTTAAAGTGGCAGTCTTTTATGTATTGACATTAATTTGTGTCCACAATTAATATATTTTTTGATTGTTTCAACATTTCATTGATATGATTTCCATTTGCAGATCGTACTAAGATTTGCCGGCTTAACAATCAAACTTTCCGTGTACTTTAGATATGCCCACGAAAATAATTTTGTTCACATTAGAGATATTAACTGTGGACCCTTCGTTTAGTTGCGTATTAAGTTGGGCTTGTTTTCCATTTCAGAAAGATCCACTTGCTTGAAATCTGATCTGAATCCATTCCGCAAAAAAAGCGGTCCATTTCTGACCCACGAAGATGATCTTAGAGGTCCTCTCCATTAACGTTTGTGGACTCAATAAATATCTTTTGGTATATTAGCCTTCCTTCTTTTCACTTACTTTAAGTCTCTTCCAATTTCCGAATTGCCTAAAACCCTGGATAGTATAGAAAGGGCTCAGAGCTGGTCAAAGTTCAGCAAAGTTCATAATTATTTTTGCAGAATATGTTTATTGCACAAAGATTAAAGCGCCTCAGACTTCATGTTATGGGACACATAAAAACTCCCATAGTCTATCTACATCTGTAAGAAGGGCTATATACTATATATATTCTTACTTAGGTATAAGTACTATATGCCTTATTATCCGTGTAATACCACAGCTATACAATAGTCTAATTTAGGAAACAATCTGGAAACAAGGAAACTAGCGCAGATGCAATCTTGACCAGGTCTGATATCGAATTTATTAAATTCTTTAAAATTAAATATATATTTCCAAAAAAATAAATAAATTAATTAAATATCTATATATATATATATATATATATATATATATATATCTCACTGATCCTTTTGGTTTTTGCGTTTTTTGGGTGCGTCGCGATATGTTCTGGGAACTTGCATGATCGCTGCCCTGGCCGCCTGCATTTGGCTTACGTCGATGGTCAGCTTCCTGGCCACCTGACTTTTCGGAATGTTGATGACCGGTTTCTTGGCCACCTGCATTGACATAGCGCTGGTGACCGGTGTCCTAGCCAACTCCATATTCCTAGAACCATTGTTACCACTTTCCACTTTCTTAGCGACCAACGGTTTCCTAGGCGCCTGTGGTTTGAGAAAAACCGTGCAGTCTTTGCGAAGAGCCAGCGGCGGTGGTTTATTTACAACAATATTTTTATTTGGCGTTGGCCTTGGATCTGTAGGCCGCAAATTGAAGTTGGGGCCGACCTGGCAGTGATGAAGTGGTGGCAAACGCAAGCCAAACTGGGGCTTCGGGATGGGCAGAATTTCCACATTGAACTGTCTAGTAGTTTCAACTAATACGTGACGCGGTGACGGCTCTGTAAAGCTCTTGTCCATCATTATGTTAATGGCCAACTTCATGTCGTCTAAATCGATGGTAGTTTTGGAAGCATGTACCGAATAGGCCTTGGCATCACTCAATATTTCAGTCAAATAGCCTAAATAGCATTCGATCCTATTACAACTGCAACTTAACATGTACAGTTATAGTGCTCGGAAACTTACCGTACGCGAACTCTAGCATTTGAGTGACAACATGTGGCTCGTACTCCATCACGTTCTGTTCCTTCAACATATTCTTTATAATCATTTCGTCCTTTTGTACATTTTGAGCCTCAACATTGTTTTTTTCAGCCATATTTGCTTGCTTGGATCTTATTTTCTTTGGTAATTTGTCAAATTACGAATTCTGCGCTGCCGCTGCAATTACACTTCGTATCGATACTTATGTGGTTGTAGTGTTGGAAAATGTTCAAGACCAGCCATGTTGTTTAAGCTCACCGAACAATTGTATGCTGCAAAAATTTTAAATCTACTTTTTTGACGTGTACAGTTTTAAGTAGTATTTATTAATTTATTATTAGATCTACAGATGACTAACATTGATGGCTAATGCAGCTAAAAACAAATAAACTGCGCCGAAGTATTGTTGCCAGGCAGCGTTGTCCTTGCTGTGATCAATCACAAATAATAATTATTGATATAATTGAACAAAAAAGTAATATCAGCTCAAGGCTATCCGCCCTCATTGACAACAAGTTGACAACAAAATAGACTAACGGATAAACTTTGAATAACTTTGAAAATACTTACTTAAAACCGTCTGGCAAAATAATTGTTCACCTTTGAGTTGATTTAGTCTTAATAGGTTTGTGGGACTTTATTTTCCGAAAGCTTTGTGGTCACACTGCACAATTGGCATGGAGCATTTGTGAACAGCTGTTGGCAAAATCTATTGCAATTCTAAACCACTAATTGTGCGAGCATTGTTAACGATACAGCTAACGGTATAGCATATACCAGAATGTCAAGATGCACATAACGGACAAATTCGTCAATTGTTGGTATTGAAAGCAGATATATGTAACTAAAAGCAGATATATTTAAAAGTAAGAAGGCATGGTCGCACTTGTACATAAATACAAGTATGCATTGAAATCAACTAGTGCTACAAATTAATTAATTGAGATTCTTCAGGAGCTCCTTAAGATCCCTGGGAAAAGAGCATTACATATAGTACATACATATACTTAAATGTACGTACAAATAAAATCGGTATAGAATCAATAGCACGCAAATTTGTCAAATTATATAAATTAGGGGGGATTTTTCAAGCCCCTTTTTTTAAAATAAAATTGTAGAAGTTTGAAAATTCTTGTCGAAATTCGTTTTGTGTCTGATCATAGTCGTCATTTGTTTAAAGAATATCAGCTTTAAGTGCTTGTCCAGTTTGTTCAAATACGAGTGGCTTTGTAGACCCAAAAGAAAAGAATTGTTGTGGTTTATGTTTGTATTTCTTTAATAATATTTTATTTATACTTTAATATTTATATACTATAATTACTGCATTTTGCTGCCTTGCTTTACGTTCTACATTATTTTTTCTCATGTGTTTGTTTTCTGTTCATTATACGAGTATTTCTCATTTGACATCAAAGCGGAGAAACTGATTTAAACAATTTCGCTTTTTGCCTCAACATTTCGTTTCAAGTGCAAATAACTTGGATGTTTTGTTTGAAAATTTAATGTACGAGTAATAAGTACGGGAATGTGCAAAGGATGTTGCTTTTTGTGCTGCTCTCTGTTGCTCTGTTGATGTTGTATTTGTATTTGAATTTGCGATTTTTATGTGTAACTGCTGCCAAGCATTCTTTGTCGGGGACTTTGCGCTATACATAAATATATAATGTACATAGTATATGCATGCATATTTCTGTCTAATTTTATTACAACACACACTCCTCTCATCTTTTCATCTTTTCATCTTTCAAACTTGCATATTTGCTGTGCCTTGACTTGCTTGACGTGCTAAAATTTAAATCTCTAGCGAATTGCTTGTTGTGCACTCGAATATCCTCACTAAACTCGTATATACTATACTTAGTACTTGTAGATTAAAACGCCCAACCAACTCGTGCCTTTTGCCCGATTAAGCAATCCATAGCTATGGCTTACTGTTTTCCATTAATAGGAAAACAAAAAAAAAATATCGTAATTCAAATATATGTACACATATTATATGTATGTGTAGTACTCGTACTCGTGTATTTAGATTTGGCCTTTGGATTGCACACAATGTCTGTCTGCTGCCTGCTTTGCCACTACGCTTTGCTTGGGCAATGCCTGCGGGTCTTTAAAAATACATATTTCCCTCTCTCTCCATGTGTGTGTGTGTGTGTGTGTGGGTATGTGTAGGTGTGTAGGTGTGTGTGTATCTATGTAATTACGTGTGCGCTGCTTACTAAGGATTACAGACGACAGGCTGTAGATTCTCTCAAAAATTGACACGTTGCTGCTCGACACTGGCTGATGATTTTTTATAAATTTTGTTATTTTGTTATTTTGCTAGTTGTCTGAAATTATTATTATTACATATTTTTTTCTTGTTGCTATAACTAACAGCTTGATTTGACCAATCCACGTGGGGCTTACTGGTTGATGGGGGCGGGACCGAGTTTTACAAACTTTGAGCAACAATTTTGGGCTCATGTGTGTGTATGTGTATGTGTGTGTGTAAAAGGAATGTGTTTTTGGTGAGCGGAGGGAGCTGTAAGTTTTCGGGACAGCTTCATTTAACTTACTTCGGTTTTGCTCACCAATTGCGCTGCTCTACGAATGCTTTGGATGGATGGCTGGGGGTTGGGGAAGTGGGAGAAGTGGGGGAAGTGGGAGAGTGGGGGGATGTGGTTTGGTTGCTGTTCGGTTTTGTGCCGGAAATGTGTTAACTCAGAAGTCGTTTCAGTTATAGTTTCAATTGCTGTTGCTGCTGCCGCCATTCTATCCAAGGATCTTCTTAAAATAGCTAACAGTTTCCGGTTTTGTAAGGGAGCGTCGTCGATTGGGCTTGAATGGTGCCTCGGTTTCCTCCTTAAGGAAGTTGCGTCGTGTTATGGTGCTGGTCGTCTCGGCAGTCACGGTGCTGCTGCTGCTGCTGCTGCTAGTACCGGTGCCATTTTCAGTTGTTGTTGTTGTTGCTGGTGTTGCTGTTGTTTCTGTTTCTGTCGCAGGCACAATTGCGGCTGTTGTGGCATCTGCAGCTTGATTTGAACTGATTGCTTTAACTGCACTTCTACTCGACTGTGTTGTTGCAGTTGTTGCATGCATTGGGGACTCGGTAATAAACGTTTTGCCTGTTGATGTTGCTGCCAAGCTGGGCGTATTTACTGCTCCTCCTGGTGCAGCAACGGTCGATGCTGACTGCTTATGGCTTACTTCAGTTTCAGTTTCGGTTTCGGTTTCTGTTTCTGTTTCAGTTACCGCCTCCTGAGCAAGTTGTTCGCTTCTTTTAGATTCCGCTTCTTCCGCTTCTTTCGCTTCTTCCGCTGCTGTTGCTGTTGTTGCTGGCTCTGCTGCTGTGCTTGCTACAGTGCTTGCAACCGATATTGTGGCTGCTGCTACAGTTGTTGTTGTTACTGCTTCAGTTTCTGCTGCTGTTGCTGCTGCTTTGGCCACTTTTATCACTTCCGTGTGCTCCTGTTGCGCCTCAACCGACGCTGGCGTTGTTGCTCCCTCCGCTGCTATTGTCGCTGCCCCTGTTGTGGCCGCTACTTCCGTCTCTGCCCTTCCCACAGTTGTTGAAGCTGGCGCGCCGGTGGCCATCAAATGACTAGCTACCTCCTCCTTCTGGTCTTGTTGGTGCTGTTCATTTGTGGCATTTACTGCAAATAGCGACGTGGCTGCTGTGGATGACAGTTGCATTGCCGGATCGGTTACCAGCTCGGTTATCCGACTTGTGGTCGTCGTCATCGTCGTCTGGGGCTGCACCGAAGTCTGCGTCCTCTCGTCAATTAGCACGTGGGTCTGATGCGTGGCATGCTCGCTATGCTCGCTATGTTCGTTGTGCTTGGCAGGCGGCACGTAATGCGATTTCACCAGCAGCATCGGCGGTATGAAGTGCGAATTGTCGGTGGACTCCTTCAGGTGAGAATGCTGTTGAGTTTCTTCGTTCATGAGCTGGTTGCCGCGAACCGGTTGCGGATGCATCGGGTGACCAATGGCGGCCAATGTGGGAATGGGTGTGGGTATGGGTGTGTTTAACATTGTTGTGAGTGTCGGTGATGAATTGCCATTGCTGCTCAGTTCTGCTCCGCTTGTAGGTGTTGTTGGCCTCCTCATGCCACTTGAGACTTCGCTTGCTATGGCGGGTGTTGTTGTCATCGTCAGGGTCGAGATCGTTGTTGGAACCGATGCCTGGGTTGGTGTGGTTATTGTTGTCGTTGTTGTTGTTGTTGTTGTTGTGGTTGTTGTGGGGAACGTTTTTGAGGCCACTGTTGTGGTCGTTGCCGTCACCTGCTTGGTCCAGTGCTCGGCTATGTTCGGCATGGTTCTCAGATCCTGCTGCATAATCTTTTTGGTGTGCGGCAAATGCTCGAGGATTTCATTGGAAGCGTCGCTATCATTATCGCTGAGACCCCCAGGAGGCGACTCTCCACTCAGTGCCGGCTGATCGCCCATCATCATGTCCTCGAGCGGTTGAGACCTTGTTTGCTTGCCAGTGCTCTTTTTCAGCTGCTGCTGCTTTTGCTGCTGTTGGGTCCAGTATTTCTTGGCCTCACTGATGCCCACTTTCTTGGCCGACTTCTTCACAGGCAGCGGTATTTGGCCTGGTATGCGGTAACTGGGCATCGCAGGCTCGTCCGCCTGCATCAGTTCGTCGAGACTAAACTGATCAATCACATGTTGAACGTTCGCCTGTCTTGTGGTCGAGGTGGTCGACTGTGTAACCCCCTTGGAGGTGGCATAATTGGGTAGCAATGGCAGCATGTCAATGTTGTTGTTCTCATTGTTGTCGGTGCGTATGCTGTTGATGATTTGCAGCGACTTGAAGTGGGAGTTGGTGATGTCGTTAATGCGCTGCGCCTCGATACGCTCCTTGGGGCAAATGAGCTCGCGAAGCGCGTGTTCTCGGTCCTGTTAACGAAAGAGAATGAGAAGGAGACAATAGTGTTGGAGCCTTCTTTTGACTTGGACAGCTGACAGAGACATGACATTCGCATTGGCACTAGTTCCAGATAAAACGCCAAGAGAAATGCAAGAAAAAGAAGAAGCACTTACCTCCTTGCCCTTGCACGTCTGGCGCAATAAACCTTCCTCCTGACAGTTTCTTATCAGCTCTACGCTGGCCGTATCTGCCATGTACTGCATTGTTAGGTTCGGCATGTCCTTTAAAATGCAGGTATCTGCCCAGCTGGGTACTTCATGGCGGGTAGCACAAAAGTAACACAAAATGGATTGACCATCAGCAGTTGTGTGCCAACATCAGCGCTTTGGCTAGCTTACCTGGCATTTCGCACAGAAAGGACGCTGTCTCGGGGCCGCCACAGCGCAGGGCATGCCAGCGATAATCTCGAATTGGATCAATAACTGCGCAAAGAGGCGCATCCATTAGTGGCAATGACTCGGCCCAGTAGCCGGTGTCCGTGACCAGCGGTCGCGAATTGCTAAATCATTGAAGGAAAATTACAAATTTCAGCATTAACCAAAACAACCAAACAAACAAAAAATTGTAGTGTGGGCTGAATAGAAATTTAATTAAAATTTACGAGTACGCGTTGAAATTATGTAACTAAGTTTCTATATCCTGCAGTCGGAAGGGCATCCTTATTCTAGGGTATTTATAAATTTTATTAAATCTTATATACATTACTGTTTATCATACTGAGGCAAGTTGAACCAAGTTATTAATCCAAGATAGCTGTATGGATAGGATAGCCCAACTCTGCTGAATGCTTCCTTCGCCCAAGAGTTTCTTCTTAACGCTGTTTATCCATGTGGATCGATTTCTATCGATTTTACCCCACTTGTAGGTTGAATTGTCCTTAATCGTTTATTAAATAACTAAATTCGTTATGCACGCAATAACATAAAAATGTTATACTAATCGGATAAGCGATTTAGAGCTTATAAAGAACAGAAAGACAATCGGCAAAGACATATTTTTTATCTTAGAAGATGAGGTTAGCAGTCAAGTTCAAATTTCGGACTCTACAAGTTAAGCTTGTATACAATTAGGTAGAAAATTTGAATACAAATTTATTCTTTATATCTAGTTATCTGAAATCTTTTATCCGGTACAAAGTTGCTATGAAAACGGGTTGTTGCAATTTTTAAATAATATACATATATTGCAGACGAAAAGTTTAAGCTGGCTAGAACTTTTCTGATGATCAAAAATATATTTTGTGTACATTATATGGTCCACCACACCTTGTTCAACATGCTATTTGATGCATGTTTTTTGGCCAGAAGTCGAATCTTCTGATCGCTGATCTCAAGTCGAAAATGCTGAGCTGAACAAATTCATTTCCTAAGTAGATGCCGCGCGTTTTGATAAATTTATGAAGCTACATTTGCAAGCACTATACTTGTACACTCTCCAATAAATGAGTTGAAATAGTAAATTATAAAATGGACATTGTTGTAGCATTTGTCAAAGTAAGCTAAAGAACTTAAACCCATTGCCTGAAATGATTTTAAAGCTGGTTTTTTGTTTTACTTACGACCACATAAAGCGATCCGAGTTCTGCGGTCGCATGAGTCCAATCCAAACGATGTCGTTCACGTCCAATTCCCTCAGCAGGTCGCGCGTTGCATCAAATTGAAAACTGTTGTCGACTAGCGAAAACATTGGGAAACAAAAGCAAAAAAAAAGGTAACAATAAATGTTCGAGCATATACGAGAATGCGAGTATGTACACATACAAGTATATGTATGTATGTATGTACAATTCACCCAGCGCATTGCTTTCTGATGTGTAAAACATTTCTTATCCTTCGTCCCTGCGCTGGATTCGAACCCCCCTGAACCCCCTGAACCTCCTGTTGCGGCAATGGTTAACAAAATGCTCTTGAAATTGATTGTTTCTCTTGTTCTACACACATACACTCGCACACAGTGGTAACTACATACATACTTGTACATACCTATGGATACATCGATATTTATTTATTCATTCGTTTATGGGCAATTTAGGTTGCCGCAACACCCTGGATGCTACAAACGTAAGTAGCGGGAGTCCCAAAATAAATTTAGTTGCCACGTCTTCCGCAGACAGGAACACCGAGTATGAAATGAATTGGAAATGTATATTTTGCGACAAATACGATTTGAACCAACAGATATTTTAGCTACCTTAGACAAAAAGTTATGGCTAACGAGTATTTTCTTTCAATTTTCCCCAAAATGATAAATGTTCAATTCGTATAATTGGAACTTTTTCATCATTTTGCAAACTTTCTGTTTTATTTATTTCATAAAACTCTTGCTAGAGGGTATGTTGCACGAAGTGTGGTTTTTGTAACGTCCAGTATGACGCAGATATAGCCATATGTATAGCTGCCTGAACATCTTGTATTTTTGTCTTTCATTTACAGCGCTTAAATTTTTTACAGACTACTTGTATTCTCTTTGTATTCCTTTAGGCAGTTATGGCCATATTTGTTGAACAAGTTGCAATGCTTTTAAGCAAATGGCAAGTTTGTATTTGATGTGAAAACAGAAAATAAAAAACCTATTTATTTGTCAAACATTGCAAGCGGTCTTTTGTTTAGCTTTTAGCAGAAAGAAATCAATTTTTGAGTTTAAAGATAAACGGTTATTCGAGGGAAATCTTCTTCTGAAGTGAAACATCTTACAGAAGGGTTTTGAATGCTAGATAGGCAACCTTTTCTGTGACGAAACCGATAGTTTCTAAAGCTCTGAAAAGCTGGAACGGCAATTATCGGTGACGGCGGGTTTTCTATCAATTTTTAAGCGGGTTTTAAATTTTTTTAGGCGGTGCTTCTTCTAATGGGTTTTTTTTTATTAATTTTAAGTAGATTGCCATTTTCTAGCTGTTCTTCTAGTCATAAGCAGATTTTCTATATATTTATAGCAGTCTTTTAAATCCATTTCCAGCATATTCTAACCATTTTTAGCTGGTTTCCTAACTATTTATAGTGTGTTCTCTAACCTTTTTAATGGGCTTTCTTGCTATTTATAGAGTAGTTTTTAGCGAGTTTTCCAGCCATTTTAAGAGAGTTTTCTAGCCATTTTTTTACCTACTTACAAGTATAATTATGTTTCTAGCCATTTTTTGCGATAACCGAGAGCGAAAACCATTTTCTAGCCATTCTTTTCAGGCCAAATGAACATTAGCCATCATTGTTTAGTAATTATAAAGAAAATTAATTCAAAGAAATTACTCGTACTCCAATATAAGCACTAAGATTCACTTCTATCTCGTGTCGCTCTGACACACACATTATCTTTTATAAAAGCGAAGATGAAGCAAGTCTTTTTTATTATTTAATTGAAAATGCAAAGTTAAATTAATTCGCTTAGACAGCTTTAACATATGCTTATTTTTAACTGCTTGCCATCATACACTAGACTGGGCTTAGGACTATTTATGCATGAGTTTCTTGTTCAGAAGCTGACCTGACAAGTGAACTGAACGATATCACAATAGCTCCAAAGTATCTCAATCAAAAACTCATGCCAATGTAAGAGGAAGGTAGTTTAGGTAATGTTTTAATACATCGCGTGCTTATAATGTCAATGTTGCCTGACTTTACTGCCTGACCTTTTTACGATGTGTCGGCCACATTTTTCTGACGTGTTAATCCTTTGTAGTTCGTGTGTGAGTTGGTATTGGGGGGTAAGTAAGCCTTTTCCATTTTTGGGCGGCATTGCCGAACACACGCATATTAATTAAAAGGGAAAAGTTGTTTACTGTTAGATCTGGCGACGTTTTCATTGTCATTGATATGGTGTTCGGAATGGGCAGATTTGCTTTTTAAGTTTTGTAATACGCTCTCAGACTTCGTCAAGTAAATAACGGTTCAAAATAAAATGCTCGTTTATTTTTGAACATCATATTGAATTAGGATAAGTTATATTCTAAAGAACAGTGCCAATTAACCAAACACAACTCCTGGGTAATACGTAACGTTATTCTTCAGAAAATCGTATATATTCAAATAAAAAAGTATACAAATACCCTATTTAATTGATGGGGTTTCCAAGTATTATAGATATGTATACAGTATGTTTTTTGTAAAAGTTTAAAATTAAATAAAATGCTAATTAAACGAATATAATATAAGGCCTTGCAATTTTTAGAATTATCAAATATTACTTAAAGAAGTGGAGAAGCTGAAGTTGGAAACATCTTATGTATTTATTTTGTTCGAGTATTATATTCAGTCTGTTGTTTGTCAATTTTCGTTTATTTTTTTTTGCTTTTTTTAAGCGACAAGTAGATATTTGATTGTGTTTTATTTTACTATCAAATAACTATAATAAATGAATCCTTTGATCAATTTGAAAACCAACTTAGATATTGAGCCAAGAAACGTAGGTTATAATAGTAATGAAACCCTAAAAATGCTTAAATACTCTGAGTTGTCTAGCCCTTTGAAAAATTGGCCCAGGGGTTTGCTCTTTTGACAGACCAGTTCGCTAATATATGACACATTCACATCACTTTGAATTTGTTCAGGAATGAGTTGTTCGCATTACTGGCAATCTAACTATACACGTTTCCTTTTGGTAGTTGCAGCACATTGTGCTCCATTCGGGTTCAACATTTACGGCCCTCGTTTGGCACAGGACAAGATGCCTGCTGGTTGCTGGAGTTGCTGGTTCTCAAGAGAGGGCTGGTGTGGGTGGCGCTGTTATGGCAACCGGAGCATATTTTTCACGTCTCTTGTTGCTCCATTTTGATTCTTATATGTCAGCTTATTTGTACTTTACATGTTACTGACGCGTTGACTTCCTTAGCTTCAGGTTCTGCGTCATGCTTTTGTTGACCAACAACTGTCCTGTTACCTGGCTTTTTACTTGCCACCAACTCAGTTGAACGAACGATGTGCATGACCTGCTGGAAGCCCAGATAAAATGCACGACACACACAGCACGTAGAAGTACTTTATACAATATACTGCGCCCACGCCCTCCCCCTCCCCACTGACACTTTATGCAACTTGCGCTTTGTGTTCCTTGAGCTTTGAGACTCACCCGTCACAAGATTGGCATGGTGGAATTGACAAACGGCATCAGCTTCAAACCAGGAGATGCGATCTCGAAAGAAACGATAGAAAACATTCAATCCCTCCTGCGGCATTGTCCAGGTGTTGCTAACGTTCACCTGCAAGGATGCACATACACACATTATTGAAATATATATATATATAGTGATATAATAGGTACATATGTATAATAGCATACTTTTTCATTTTATATTAAATGAAATACATATCTGTGTTACTTATTTAAAGGCGTGTTTATTACAGAACTTATAACGAACTAATCGCCTCCCTTCTCATTCAATTTGTAATGCCATTTCTTTTTTGACCTCTGAGCTGCAAATTGCTCAATATTTTGTAATTATTCATAAAATATATTAAATTCTTAAAACTTAATCCCTCAAACACCCTGCTCCCTAATAAGTAATTGATTGATTTGTCGTTTGAGAAATTTCTTCGCTCATTTAAAAGAGACTATTCGAAAGAAACATGAAATATATATTTAGAAAGAAATTCTTTAATATACTTGTTGTTGGGTCAAACTAGCCACACTCGCAGTTAAATAACCTTATAATTACTAAACCCTATTATACTAGCATAATTGTCAATATCTATTGGAAATATTTTCATGTCTCAATCAGTCAATTAACCCTCGCAACTGCAAATATCACTTCCCTCTTTATTATTTGTACGTCCTACATTCTTACACTTAAATTCACCACACTGTAAGTTGAACTCTAAAGCATCAGTACGAAAATACCAATAAACAGTTTGTAATCAACTCTTGAAGAAGAACCACTGTCTATCGCGTACGGGTCGTTTGGTTATGTGTCAATTGCATTGTTATCTATGTTCAAATTAATTCACACACCGCCCAGACCTGAAGTTTTCATGTTGGCAAGGAAAACGCTCCTTGACACAACATTTTGGCGCCCAACGTGGGGCTCGTGTGTGAATTTTACTGCGAAGAAATTTAAATTTTGTAATTTACATATAAATACTTTGTGGCCTTCAGCTTCGCATTGACTTGACGCGTTTCTCGCATTTTTTGTCGCTTCGATCTCGCTGCAGTGGCTGTACACACGCACACAGCTAATTGCCGGCATATACATACATCACTTATCGTTGTTGGAAGTACACCGCTATTTCGTTCCTATTCGCCTTGCTGTGGACTTCGCTCGCCATCTTTTGGATCAGTCTTGCCGACTGTACTTCGATTTGTTGGAAGTACGGCACGACTTCGCCTTAATTCGCCTCGCTACTGCTTTCGTCCAAAGCATACACATTATTTCTCGAAGACAACATTACTCGCTGTTGGAAGTGCGCCGTTACTTCTTTCTTGTCCGCCTTGCTTCTGCCTTCGCTCATCGTCACTTGGACCGTATTTGGTCGCTGCATCACTTATCGTTGTTGGAAGTAGGAAACTACTTCGCTCTCGTTCGCTTTGCTGCTGCCTTTGTTTGACAGCAGACGCATCATTTATTGGAATTTACATCGTTTATTCGTCGGCAACCGAATAATCGCTGTAAAAATCTTCACTTCGTCGCACATTAATTCGTCACTATCAGCTGCGTTGGTGTCTTTGGCTGCTGCATTAACAATTATTTAATTCGCGTTTGTTCAATTTAATTTGTTCAGCAATATGTCGATCGAAGAACTTAAGGCCAAGAGAGGTAATATTAAACGTAATATATCTCGCATAAGGTCTTTGGTTGAAATAAAGGATGAGTGTAAACCTAAACTGTCCAATGATGAATTGCAATGTCGCTTGGGTATATTAGAGTCATATTTTAAAATGGCTTTAACTGTGCAAACTGATATTGAAAACTTGGACCCTACCGATAATGGTCGCGCAGATATGGAAGACACATACGTGGAGATCAAGCTGTGCATTAAGGAGCAGCTTGGAGGAGAATTAAATACCACTGTGCTGCCCTCGGATTCAGAACCGCCGGTAGCTACCATAAAGTCGTCGTCGCTGCCAAGGCTGTCGCTACCGACATTCGATGGAAATTACGCCAATTACAGCAATTTCATCAATTCGTTTGAACAAATAATTGCACGTGAGTCTGGGCTATCAAATATAGAAAAGTTCAATTACTTGCTGTCCTGTCTAAAGGGGCCGGCATTAGAAACAATAAAGGCATTTCAAGTTACGAGTGCAAATTATCCTAAAGCCCTGGGAAGGCTTAAAGAACGGTTTGATAATCCCACTCTCATATTTTTAGAAAGTATTGCCGCATTGTTTGCGCTACAGCCAGTTGAAAAGGCAAACAGTCAACAGCTTCGTAGCCTAGTGGATAAGGCATCCGCAATATTTAGTTCGTTGGAGTCCATTGGCAATTCAACTAATATTGTCCAAGCCATGCTCATATATATTGTCATTGACAAATGTGATCAGCAAACTCGAAGCAAATGGAATGAATCGCTGGACTACAAGACACTGCCCTGCTGGTCTACATGCACACAGCTTTTAGAACGCCATTGTCAGTTTCTACAGTCATCAGGAACCTCTCTTCAGCGCAAGTTCGACAATAACAAATCCACAACTCGTGTTAATAGCTCAACCTTTGCTATCACTAATGCATCTTGTATACTCTGTTCTAGCCCTGCTCACAAAATTAACAACTGTGCCCAGTTCAGGGCCATGAATAGCAACCAACGTTTCGACAAGGTCAAAAGACTTGGACTTTGCATCAACTGCCTCGGAAGTGGACATAAAATGGCACAATGTCCATCGACTTATCGTTGCCGCACTTGTAATAGAGGGCACCATTCATCGCTACATCATGGACAACCATCGCAACTCTCGCAAACATCGTTCACGCAAGCATCAGCTGCACCAAACGACGCGTTTCACCAGGCTCAAGCTGCCTCACATTCTCACATGGAAATTTCTCCTGGTGATCAGATTCTATTGGCAACTGCTATGGTTTTGGTCAAGGATTCATCAGGTGAATACAAGCTTGGGAGAGCGCTGCTAGATTCATGTTCTCAGGTTAACTTCATAACTGAACACTTCGCCCAAAAACTTCGCTTGCATCGAGAAAGGCATCACATCGGGATCCGTAGTATCGGTGACTCCCTAACTAATCTCAAGGCTCGTACAACAACATCAATCAAATCACGAACATCGAATTATCAGTTGACGCTGCAGTTCGGAATTACGTCGCACATTGCGTACCAGCCTGACGCCGAGATCGACATCTCAAGTTGGAATTTGCCTGCTAATGCACCGTTGGCAGACGATACTTTCTTTAAGTCTCGACGTATCGACTTGCTGTTGGGAACTGAAGCATTCTTTGAAGCGCTTGCTATTGGTCAAATTCGTATCGGACCAAATTTACCCACTCTGCAGAAGACTCTGTTTGGTTGGGTCATCTCCGGCAAATATCAGCATCAACGTAGCCAACGACCACCATTGTGCTTGGCCACAGTTGAGGACTCGATAGATAAACACTTGCAACACTTATGGAAAATTGAGTCTATCGAACGCCCGATTAAGGAGCTTCACCCAATTCATCGTCGCTGCGAAGACCATTTTGTAGCCACCACACATAAGGATGCTATTGGGCGCGTTGTCGTCAGCCTGCCCTTTAAGGAGAATCCAAATTGCCTTGGAAGCTCTTTCGAAACAGCTCGAAATAGATTTTTCGCCATTGAAAGACGTCTGTCGCGTCTACCCGATATCCGCTCACAGTACATATCCTTCATGCAAGAATATGAAGATCTTGGTCATATGTCGCGCGTACAGAACCCAAATCTAAAGGAACCGCACTATTACATTCCACATCATTTTGTACTCAAACCGAGTAGCTCATCAACGAAGCTCAGAGTCGTCTTCGATGCATCATGTCGTACGACCTCTCAAAAATCGCTTAATGACTTGCTTTTGATCGGCCCTACCATTCAAGATGAGCTCTACATGCAGCTGCTACGGTTTCGGATGCATCGGTTCGCCATCACAGCTGATGTTACAAAAATGTACAGGCAAGTACTCGTTACCAAAAATGATAGAAGGTTTCAGTATATCTTTTGGCGAGCCTGTCCAGATGAGGAGTTACAAACTTTCCAGCTCAACACAGTTACGTATGGGACGGCGTCAGCGCCATATCTCGCAACTCGTAGTTTACAGTATCTAGCGGATGAATGTGAAAACGAGTTGCCTGTTGGAGCTGCTGCTGTCAAGTCGTCATTTTACGTGGATGATCTGCTATGTGGAGCAGACGACATCGATGCCGTGCAAACACTGAAACGGGAGATTACTGAAATACTCAGTCGTGGACATTTTCCCCTATGCAAATGGCACTCAAATCTTCAAGAACTTATGGAAGACCAAACTACTAAAGAGATAACCATCTCCGAAAACTTCGTAAGTAGTACACTTGGTGTAACTTGGCATCAGCAAGATGATGCGTTCAGTTTTACCTTTCGGCCCAAGGAAGTGTATACCACTGCTACAAAACGGACAATTTTAGCTACCGCATCATCGCTTTTTGACCCGATCGGCCTATTGTCCCCACTCGTCGTAATATCTAAAATTATCCTTCAGGAACTATGGCTTCTGAAACTCGACTGGGATGAGTCAGTCCCACAACCCTTACTTAATTCTTGGATTAAATGCTTACAGTCCCTGAACTCGGTCTCGTCGCTAACTGTTCCTCGATATTGTCTGCAACCAAGCCCTTGCAGCATTCAGTTACATGGCTTTTGTGATGCATCAATCAGAGCATATGGTTGCTGCTTGTACATGCGCACGGAAGACGCAAATGGACACATTAACGTGCACTTGATGACTTCAAAATCAAGAGTAGCACCAGTGAAAAAGCAGTCGCTTCCAAAACTGGAACTATGTGGTGCTCACTTGTTAGCTGAATTGTACAGCAAGACAAATAGCATATTTAAACATCGAACCATTACATCATACTTTTGGTGTGACTCCCAACTCGTTTTGTATTGGCTGCAACAACACTCAACTACTTTGTCCACGTTTGTGGGAAACAGAGTATCTGACATTCAGGAATTGACTTCGGATGGTATTTGGCGCTACGTTTCGACTCATCACAATCCAGCTGATCTTATATCTCGAGGCTGCCGCGTTGAAGAATTGAGAGCCTCAATA